TCCCAGGCCAGCTGCATTGAAAAGCGCGGATTTTCCACAATTTTCATACGATTTTTATACGGCTCAGGGGAGCAATCTTTCAGCAGGATATTGAAAAGGACTTTAAAGGGTCTGGAAAACGTTTCTCGAATCTGTTCTATATTGATTACTAAAAAAAGAGTGGGGAAATCTTTTAAATGTTAAATGGTTTATTATAGAAATAAAATATATTTGAAAATGTTTAAAATGCCATATAAATGCCATATAAATGCCATAATTGGTAAATATTTCTTAGAAATTTCCTTTAAGTTCTTAAAGTTGGCAAACACTTAAGCACCGAGTGGATCGTTAGTACTTACTGCCTGCTCACCCCACTTTTTTGATCAAGCCCTTGCGAACCCAAATTCGACTTACAAATCAACTCAATAAAAACAATTTTCGATATTAAATTATCATTTTGCCCATCGCCGCCCTGGATTGTTGGAAAACTTTCGCCTTGCCACTAGCCTCTTCCCCCCATTTTCCCACACACTCACTTTCATACACACTTACATTTATATATGTGTATATATATATATATATATATTCCACCACTACAACTACAACAAAAGGATGTCGTGTCGTGCCGCGTCGCTTAATCATGTCAATGATTTATAACGCTTTCAAGGAGCGCACCAAAACTCGAACTTGTCGACGCCAACTTACCCCCTCTCATTTTCCCTCCCTCCCCAACCACTTTCCCACCCATTTTCCTCAAGGTGAGCGAGGGGGTGGCAAAGGGGAAAGGGGGTTGGGAAGCCCAGTGAATGACTTGCCAGACAAAAGCATAGTAACTAGCTTAAGAGCCGGGGTTTGAGGCCAGGTCAGAACATAAGTTTTCTAGCTACTTATATGCCGCCGTAGTGGGGCGAAATTTATCTCACGAAAAATGATTTGGCTCATTATCAACAGGAGCCAAAGTGCAGCCAGCACACTGGAAAAAAATTTAGATTTTTTATCTCCTAAAGTCATTTTCAAAAAAATGGACAAGCCATAATTAATGCATATTCACAGATACGACTTTCCACCTTAGATGTGCATTTGGAAATAGTCAAAGCAGCATTTAAACTTAAACATACAAAGCCTATTACTTATTTAATTATAGAACCATTTTACCATTTTTTTCCTGACTTAAAATAATTTTGTTAATAATTCAGGGTATAACTTGTCAAGCAATAAATTGGGTCCTTAAATTATTAGAAATCAAAGATTCACTTTATTATTTGTATTTCAAACTTTAATAATAAATGATTATTTATTAACAGAATTAGACACATGTTAAATACAAATTTGTGAAGTTTTTTTTTCTTGGCTATGGCACAAATTGAAATGTTTAGAAAACAAAAGTTATTTATATTTTTTTTCTGTGTACCCAAGACCAGATATACATTTATAGACAATAGGAATAGGGGGGTTTTGGAGTGAGGGGACATCGAACAAACGCATAAATCAACAACAAAAACAGAAAAAATGATTTATTTTTCTTGGCTGCTTCTTCAGCTGCTGCTTCTTCTCCTTTTTATTCGCCCCAAACCAAAACTCCCCCAACTTGTAGAATTTTTTGCGACGGAGTTGGACCCGTTGTATGATTGCTTCTAATAAGTAAAGTGGGATAATGCCAGGATTTTTCGAGGGGGGAATGAGGCGAAGGCTGTGTCGAAGGGGAAGTACCCATAATCAGTGGGGAAAAATGGGAAAAAGGAGGAAAATAAATAATGGGGGCGGGGGCGGGGCTTGAGCAAAGGTGTGCATGCCCACCAATAATAAAGTAATCAAAGTGATATGGTGTTGATGCCGCGGGAGGAGAAAGAAATAAGTTCATGTGGGTGCTGTGGGGACAGGATAAAAGGAAGCCCCGAACAATGTGTTGTTATTGTTGCCAGGACACACACACACACACACATCCTCGAGATTATGCCATTAAGACATGAGGCAATCGAATTATGGTCCTGGCCTGCAAGTGAAATTGAATAAGGAACGCCAGAGGAGGAGGCACTGGGAAAACCCAGCTGAACAATGGCACAATAGAGGAGGCATTTAAGAGGCCAATCTGGCTGAGAGATCTGGCTATAATGACTATTGGCAGGGGTATTACGGATGCTAAATTAATTTTTGAAATTTAACAAATTTTAGACTAAAGTAAAAGATATGTTAATATATTTCTTATTGCTCAACAAACTTGATTTTCGTTTTAAATTTAGAGTATGGTTTAGGTATGGTAACAATAACACCATTGAGTATACAAATTTTAAATTCATTTTTAAAATATTTAATTATTAAGCAAATATTTACCGTTAATTAATCATTTAGCACTTACTATATATACTTTTACATTACCAAAAATATATTTTCGTTTGTATTGAACAGTTTTTAATGCAATTATCATCCCGTTTTGCCAAGAAATATTCGCAGGAGTAACTTTGCAGTACATGTGTTTGGTGTCTCTCCGCCGAAACCCCATAAATAGTTGCTTAATTACCATCTCAAGTGCCAAGTGCACTCACCTGGCCGGGAAAAGTCCCCCTCTGTTTTTTTACTTTCCCCTGGTAGCAAAAAAACCATTCCATGCACACAGAAAACCCAAACACGGAAAACAGTACGAAGAAGTTGAGGCAAAAGCCAAAGACAAAGTATAAAACATATGCCAAAACACCGATTGCAATTAATCTTGTGCATGTTTCAGCGCAGGCCCCCTCCTTGAATTTTTCCCGAGAGGTAAACTGTATTGGTAAACAACAAAACGGAAAACTTACGCTGCATTTGGTTTTCAGCTTTCCCCTTTTTTTCCCACCAGGGTTGCCACCTGCAAAAAGGAAGCAAGCAATTTAGTGCGGTTGTGTTTGGGTGCTGATCTATTGTTGGCAAAGTAAACTTTGCAGCATACTTGAAGGCGCCACCCACAAAAGCCGCTATTCCCTGGATATATTCTCATGGCTATGTGTCTGTGTGTGTGTGTGTTTGTGTGTGTGTGTGCTGTAGACGTTTGTGAGGTATCCCTTAAATACCAATTTATGGCACAAGCAGATAAAGTCCCAAATCTGCACTTAATCTTTTGCATTGTTTAATTTCGACTCATTGAGTTGAAGCGCCAAAAATAACCCACACTCTCACTACGGATTTCTCTATTTCCGGATAAGTGTATGTGTGTGGGAGGAAGGCGTGTGGGCGTGGCCATATGAATGGGCATTGTTCCGGAAGGAGTGGGGGCGTACTTAAGTTGCCTGGGAAATAAATCGTTGTCGACGTCTACAATGTGCTACACAGAAAATAATAAGTATTTAGGTTAAAAGAATTAAACATTTAAAATACAACTTAAAATCCCTTGTAAGTCTGCTGTAAAATTTTATTATAAGTAAACATTTTACTGCAAATGGTTTTGCTGTTAGGTGACCTTCACCTTAATTTTCCGGCTCATAACTTGACCCTTAAAATTTGTAGTTTACTAAAATAATTATCTGTGTTTAGATTGATAACAAAAACGTCAGTAAATTTTTGTAACCATTTTTCTCTTAGCTATACTTTACTTCTAGAACCTATAACATTACTAATCGTAGTCCGAATTTAATGTTAAGAAAAGCTAGTGGTTAAGTGTTCAATAGAAATGCATTTGGGTGTAGGGTTTAAAATATTTTTTTGTTTATAATTATATGACCCCTTTTAAATGTATTCATAAATGCATTCAAATTTGTCTATCCAGTTAAGTTACAAGTACTCATATAACATTCCATAATATGATTATTTTAAGCCAAATAATAAGGAAGAAAGTTTATCATTAAAGTGAAAGTTAGAGCCAAACTAATTTTAAAATTAAAAATCCATGAATTAATAAATATATAGTATTTTTGCATGTGCTTGGGAAAAATCAAAAGAATTTTGGGAGAAAGGGGAAAGTTTTGGGGGCGGGGCATTCTGGGGTTTGCTTGTGTGTAATTTTCGATGCTTCATTGCAACCACGGCAACAAAAAAACACATCCTTGCTCAACAGGCGCAACAGTCGTCCTTCCTTCCTTTCAGCCCTCCCTTTCCTTAACCCCTGTTCGCCCTCGTCCTCGATTTTGCGGTTTCCATGGGCGGCAAACGAAGGGGGAACTATGGGTTCCCTGAATCCGGGTCTTGGTCCAACGCAAGTTGTTCGCTAGTTAAAACTTACAACTTGCGCGTTATTTCCTGCCATACACACTCACACACACACCAACACACACTTTCTCTTTGAGAGAAAATTTCACCCCCCTCCAACCGCAATGCCCTCCGTACTTAAGGTGTTAACGCAAAAGCTTGACTCATAAAATATTGAAAAAGCCGCAAAAACTTTGCACCAAAAAAGCTCTGGAAATACACATAGGTAATAGAGAGTAAAAGGGGAGGGGTTGAAGGGAAATAGGGGGCCAATTGCGGCGGATTGTCGGAACCCCAAATTGAACGGTTAAGTGGCGGAGCCGGTACAACTTTCTTACTTGACTTTCTTAGCTATTTACAAAGGAATTCCTTCCGGAAAAAGAATAGCTAATAAAAATAACTATATATTTATTAGGACTATGAAATGCCAATTTTAAAGAGATTTTGCTATCGTAGGATAACAATTGTATGGGAATCTCAAAGATAAAGCCAGATTAATTTAAATTCAATTATTAACAATTTAATAATCAATTGAAGTATTAGTTCCTAAGTCAAAGATTCATATATAAATAAATCTTTCTATATTATAATGAAGTTTTAATAATCAAAACCAATAAAAAAAACTAAAAAATATAAAGCATTTATTTTTAAATCAAATGTACAGTCAAACCTTCATATCTCAAACTTTTCTTTCCATTATGCCAACAAAAAGTCTAAGTTTATTGAAACCAAATTGTAAAACCCAAAGTCTTCATAACTTGAATTTAATTTTGAAGCTATGAAAGTTCGACTGTTAATGTTTATTTTCTTACATAAAAACGTAAAATTACAAATTTTTTTTCATTCACTTTCACTTTGCTTGCAACGTCACATTAAAAACGTTATAAATTAAAATGTGGATAACTCGCCGTTCTTAATTGGATCAAGTTTTCCCCGATTTCTGAGGTCGCCGAAACTCGATCAGCATGACCGCCGATCGCATTATCCTGCTGCAGTTCAGCATGCACTGTTTCAAGATCATCTTCATCTACTGCATCTGTGTGAATGTCCTGGAGCATCTCGTTCAGCAGGTCCAGGAAAACTGAGCGGAAAATGCTGGGGGCTTGAAAACGGGAAGAATAAAAATTAAGCGGCGATTACTTCACAACTATATTCATTTTTCTTTAACTTGTGGCATATAAAGAGTCAATTTTTTTGGGGTACATTTATCCTTTTTCGACCATTGCAACGCCATCTTAAAGAATCGCAAATTATCTACAGAAATTCTCCTGCCAATATATTTCAAATGTAAGCAGAGGTATAAAATGTCTGTGGATTTTTTTTTATCTCCACTCAAGCTGAAAATCGATGCGATTTACGTAAATTACATATAATTTTTAATAGGTTTTTCATCAGGCATAAATTATTTCGAGCAAGCAGAAGCATTCGTGAAGCAAACACGAAACGGAAATTTAAATTACCTGCAACGTAATTACACAAAAGAATATGCCAATAAAAATGACTTATGTATCAATTTCCTTTACGACACAATCCCAGACGAAATGGGGAGGATGATGATGACGATGATAATAATAAAAGTCAGCGTAGCACAAAGCGAAAAATTTTCAATTTTATTTTTATTGCCTTATTGTGTATCAAATATTTACAATTATTTGCCCCAAGTCCCAGGAAAATGAACGAAAAGGCACACAGAAGCGCCGCGGAAAATTCGTTGGTTTGGGGGGCGACAGAGGTAAAATGTTGGGGGCTGATAAATTCAAATAAATTTTTGGCGTTGCACTGTAACCAAGGTGAAAATGATGAGACTTCTCGGGAATACTCACAAAACTACAGACGTGAAAAAGTTTTCGATCAAAAACGCGGCAAATAAAATGCTTCCCTGCTCTTTCTATTCGCTTAGTGCCGTCTCTATCTCTCTCCCTGCGGCAGCGGCATTAAAATTTTATTTTAATGTCATCGAGACGTTGATTTACAGCCACCAGATTCTCGGTCTGCGCTTTTGTGTGTGCGCCAGGCCAAATATAATTTTAATAATATTTTATTGCTTCGAAAAGTGGTAATAGCGCGTAAAATGCCAAAGCCTCAACAGAGATAGGGAAATCTACAGGGGAAAAGGAGGAAAATGTCGTTTATGGCCTGTGAGTCAAGTTTTTATTTTTTGGCAGCATATATTGCATAAACAGTTCATTTAATTTAATTCTTTTCATTCAATTAAAAAAAATATTAATAAATCAATCTTAGGTGATTATCTTTTTTAGCTTGCCTTAATGCCAAACACCTTTACCAAAAAACTTGGCCAATAATAATAATAATAACGAATTGTAAATGCGTATTTGAAACTCAAGAAAAATTTGTTATATATTATCAAGCTTACCTTTTTATTATATGAATTAAAGCACTTTAAATATTCTGTATTTTCCTGAAGGATTTATTTTCCTTCCTTTTTTCCTTCATCTGTGCGAACTGTTTATTTCTGTTGCCATTTTCGCCGAAGGAGGGAAACCTTGCCAATTGGACGGGTTTCCATCAATTGGAAACACATTTGCCGAAAGCTTTTCCGCATTTCCCCACTCCACGTCCGTCTGCCTTTGCCATCTGGTTCATTTAACAACAATTATAATGGTTTCCACTTTTGGCATTACTTTTAACGGTTGTCTACATCGGTTTTCCTCAGGTTTTTGTTTCGTATATTTATTTCGGTTCTTTTTCTTTTTGGGAGGGCAATCGAATAGCTTGTAAAACTTAATGAAATGAAACCTTAGGAAGAGCCAAGCGGAAAAGGCATAAATGAAGAGATTGGCTTGGCACTTTTCGGCTTTTCCGAATCTATTTTAAGTAATATTTATGTGACTTCATCTCCCATTTTATCCCTCCCCCCCCCGCTGCTCACCAATTAATTTTTATTTATGTCTGTATATACATCTTTTTTTTGTTTTTTTTCGGTTCGCTTTTCCCTTATCAAACAAACAGTTGGCAAAATGATAAATGCCCTTCACCCTAACCCCCTCTCTTTGGTAATTTAATATTTTTCATTTTTTCCAAACTTGGGGCTGCTAAAAAATGACAATTTTTAATTATCAAATGCGTTTAATGATAAAAATTGTCTAAGCGAACGAACGAAGGAACGTACGGCCGGGGGTGTGGCAGCTACTTTCCCAGCTTTTAATTTATGATTTATTTGTGTGGGTGGCGGGGCGCCCATAATAATTAATATTGCACACAAGAAAAATACCAGAAAAAAATACAGAACCAAACCGAAGCGAAGCAAACCTAAAAGAAACAACAACAACAACAACAACAAACAAAACGCGGTCAAAGGCGTCGAAAACAATTCCCCCGGGGGGGTGGAAAAATTTTTTCATAAATCTTGAAGGCGGAGACAGTAAGTGCAATGTCATTGAGGCAAAAAAAAAAACGAAATAAACAAAAGGGGTAGTAGGGGGAATAGGAAACAAAACCCACGCCCATGTCACCACATGTCGTCTTGAGCCTGCCGCGAACACAAAATTAAAAGTATTTCTCGAATTATTGTTAATGATGATTAAAAATATGTGTACCTGCGGAAATGAAACGGCAAGGCGCTGGATTGTAAAGGGAGTACACCTGTCCCCAAAGCGAACACATGCTCTCCATCCGAGTTCACTTGACTTTGACTTCTTCGAAGGCGTTTTCTTGAAGGAAATATTATGGAAAATATGTGTCTTAGAATGTACACAACTGGGATAAGAACATATTTAATTTTCAACATATTTCCTTTGAGAAAATGACTTGAATTAAACATAAAAAATCAAATTATTTTGTTATAATATTTTAGATTACATCTGATAATTTTAATTGTATATATACATATACTAAACGGGCAGAATATTATTTAAATAAATAAACATGTAAAACATTCATATCAAGATAATGACTAAATAAATCTTAAAATCAATATAGTTTCTTAAACATTTTAATTCATGTAGTACACTCTTGTTGATAAAAGAAAGTTATTGTTAAAATTCATATAATTATCACATTCTGAAATTTTTAAATATGTATATATATTGTTTCTTCAGCCAAATTATTACCTAACTTTTTTTTTTTTTTTTTTTTACTTTTCTTTGTTCTTCAGTGTTTGGTATAATCCTATAGATACAAGAAAGAATTTAATTATTACCCAACACCTTTATTTACATACAATGTTCATCACAACCTGGAATCGGACCAAAAATATGTTTTTCAAACATAGTTCCTCCACCAATCCAGTCTATAAAACGAAATGAGCAGTTTCGACATATTTTTGGAAGGGGAACAGGATTTCTGTGGGTGGTGAAGGGTTGAATGCGGCGTGTGGCGGCACTCGATAACATAATTATCTGTCATAATCAGTAGGCGTTGAAATGTGCAATTTAAAGAGCAATTTAATGCGCGCCAGCAACCAAAAACAACAACACCGATACAGATACAGATACAGTAGCAGCAACACCACACATATGGATACAGATACGGATTCGGTTATGGATGGTAGATACACCTACATGTACAGATGCAGTTACAGATACAAGTACAAATCACCAGGCAGTTGCAGATGCACAAAAGCAACCGGTTGCATGGGGGTGGCAATTGGGGGGTTGCCGATGCAACATTTGGGGAGGGGTGTGAACCAGTGGCGTAGTTGGAAAACCGAAATAAAGATAGAATTGCTAGCATAACATTTAGCTAAGCTAATGCCTTCAAACATTTAATAAAGTAACCGCATAAGCATAATTTAAATGGAAATATATTAGCAAATTAAAACTAGATATGAAAAAGGTTAGAGTCGCGAATTCTTTAGCATAATCTGAAGCAGAGTTTTTTGTCTGAGTTTGGAATCTCGTAGTTTTAAAAACAATAAAGTATATTTCTACATAAAAATGTTCTTTTAAATATTTATCAACACATATACTAATATGTTACCATAAGAAATGAATCAATATATTCCCTCCTTTTTAATTTCACACTACGCCCCTGCAAGTGTTTGCCATCGTCTAAAGCATTTCGGTGATTGTGTCCGTTTGAGTTTTTGCAAATTTGCATCGGATTATTGCAATAAACATAATTATGCGCGCTGCATATGATTTTTCAATTAAACACATGCCAACCCCCCGTGAAAGTTCCCCGTTTGTGGGGTTATCATCGTGGGACGTGGCAAATAAAGGGTTAGGCTGGGCGTTTTTGAGGAAGGAGAGGAAGGGAATTTTGTGTGGGTTAAAAGGGGGCTATGGTTTTTGATATCCAGGGATTCTGGGATGACATGACCAACCAATTGCTGTTCGTTGCGGGTGTTTGTAATGCATATTTGTTAATTAAGTGTCGCATGTGTGTGAAAAACCCCCCAAGAACCACCCATGCACCGCCCAGCATGTGGTGCAATTCCAGCGGTGCTTAAGTGGAATCAATGGATTGTAATGCAGAGATAATCATTTTTGAGCAAACAAAAAAAAAAAAGTGGCGCATATATCATTAAATTTATTTTGAAGAGCCTTAACCTTGAGTGGGCCAAAGCTCGGGAAAGGGCCGTTGCCAATGAGACAAATGCCACGCACTCAGCAGGATATGGCTGAAATTTCAATTAGACGAGGTGTTGATGCTGAAACTCTGCGGTGCGATTGCCGTTGTATTTGCCATTTCAAGCATATTGCACTTGATGACTGGTAACCATTTCCCGCCATTCCCCAAAATACTCCATACCCTAGGCATACTTTTTTGTCTTTGAAAGCGAAGTCGTTATATTGAAAAAAAACCAACCTAAGTCAGGGTGACAGGGACCAGAATTCCAGCCACTGGGATCTCACGATCCTGCAGGGATAACTGCAGCAGATAATCTCCCTTGGGAGAATTGTCCGACAGAAAATTGGTCTCCATCTCGTACTTGTCAATAGTGTATTTGCCCTTTGGAAAAGGACATTTTCCCTGCTCCGGCAAAGTGGAGACCTTCTGTATTTTGCGACAAGGTTAAAACTGGATTATATATATTATTATATTTATATAGTTATATATATATAATTTTAGGGACTCAAACTAAGCTCAAATACAAGGTCAATAAAGTATAATTTTGACATGTTCTGGTTTAATTCAGTTAATTTATGTATTTGGCTTAACAATTTTTTATATCTAAGATCGTTATAAAATTTAGTTATTTTAAATTAGCTATTTCAGAAACAACTCATTAATATCAGATTATATTATAGTGACTTAAATATTTATTTTTGACTGGATTGATTTAGTAAATTATAGAATTTAATCAATGAATAAAGAATATGAATATTAATAAAAACAAGAAAGAAAGCAAACTTCGGCAAGCCGAAGTTCATATACCCTTGCAGCTATTGCAAGAATTAAACATTTTTGAAAACATTAAAATTATAATTTACTTGCGTATAAG